CCTGCTGGGTAACGCCACAAAGAACCCAAGAAGGGCTCCCACAGGACATACAGAACATCCCACAGCAAGAGATCATTAAGTTTGTCCACTCTACCTAGGTAACAAAAAGTCATTCAGTCATCATCTTTGATAATATTTATGAACAGTATTCTTGTCATTTCTGTGGCTGTGTCAGTTAGCTTATCTGTGATTAAAGACGCACCTTTTGTTTTCTGCACAGGATGTGAACACCATCTTGCAAACACTACCTTTGTCCCATATACCTGTAACAAATAGGTGACGCAGGGACATACACAGTACCATCTGGCTACACTCCCTTGTTCTCTTTATTTTACACATCTGACATCCCCGTGTACCCTATGGAGACACTGTAAATTCTTGCACATTTTACTGACGCAGAACAACAAGAGGACCAACATGTTCTAGTACCTTGAGATCACTGTGTACTAAGTGTGATCTACCCTCGTCAGGGATTTAAACTGCTCTTGGGCAAACATGCTTCATAAATGGAAGCCTGGAAGGCACCCAGGGAGTGGTTAAGGTCTGACTTTATTGCTGAACTTTGGCATGGCACTTTCAACTGTGTGGTGGTGATGTTGTGTGACTAGTTAGCTGGGTGGAGACTGGCACCTATCAGCAGAATAATTTAACATGAATATGATACGTGATGTGAATGAATCTCACAGTAACCAGGGGCCAGTCACTATTTCCTGACCGAGAGGAATTACATGTTTAAAAAGAATTATTAGAACTGGATCACCTGAGTCAGGAAAAGTGGTACACACCCATAATCCTGGTACTTGGAAGGCTAAGACAGGAGGATTACAAGTTCAAAGACAGCCTGTGATGTACAATGAGACTCTGTCTCAAAAGGAAAATAAAGTTAGTGGAAGAAACTCATCAGACAGAAAAATACATAAATGAGTAGTTAAATCTGACTGTTTAGTTTGGACTGACAGGAGAAATAAGCTGGGCAGCAGCAGTCACTCAAGTCGGATAGGTTCTGTGGGGTGGTTGTTTGTTCGGGGTTCTGCTGTTGCACCCCAGTGTACTTTCAGGATTAACCTTAAAGTGCTGTGACCAAAAGCCATCCTTTGCACAGTCTTTATAAGATAGTGCACTTGTGAAAACTTCAGCTTCTTTTAGACTTTTTCTTCCTTTCTTTCAGGACTTATGCCTGTTGCTCAACAACCTGTTTATTGTGCCTCCAAGCACGGCATAATCGGATTCACACGCTCGGCAGCGGTGAGGAAATCAGAACCACAGCCTCTCTTCCTCCTTGCGCTCATCGATGAAACCCAAATTTTTATAGACTAGAAGAAAAGAAATACAAATTAAAAAAAAAAATCTAGCCGAAAGATGGAGGAGACGTCCCACTTAGGGCCTTATGATAAAAACATTTTCGATCATGTAGAAGACTAAATAAAGAATATATCGATGTCACTAGGTGACACAAATGAATATTTTAAATAATGGAGAAATTCTCTTTGTTTTTAAAACTGTGCACAGTTTCTGCAATATTAATGTCAGGAGTCCTTATATAGAACACTTAATAGAATTTTGCCTGCTGTTTGGAAAATGTATTATGAAGCACAGACAACAGAAAAGGATAGTTGGGAGGTCTCTGAGTAGTACTGGATAGGATGAAACGACGAGAAAGATGAAGTGTTTCACATTAACAAGGAGAAATCATAAGCAGAAGCATCAGGGTTAATCATTCTCGAGAAGGAAAGAAGTCTTTACTCTTAATTTGGGTTGATTAGACCTCAGTACTTAATTTAAAAATATTTCAATATTTTAGAAGAAGATAAACCGTTACTAAGCAGATATTTCAAATTTAAATGTATGACTGGCTATTTCTATAGTCAATTCTCATTGTTCACAGCAGTTAGGAAGTTACTTGCAGATGCTGAATTAGTAAATGCTGAGCCATCATTTCTGGAAGAAACAAAAGGAGAAGTTACTGAAAGGCCTGAGTTGAAAACATTTCGGTCAACCCCCCAGTATCCAACCTTGTTTTATGTGTATTTCTGTATAATGAAAAGTAATGAAAAGTTTACATAGTGTGACAATATTGAATTCACAAGTAGTAGAACTTTTATTATGATGTTTGCATTAAAAAAAAAAAAGCCTCAGTTGCTTGGCTTCAGGTCCCTAGAGAGTTCAACAGAGAAGAGCAGCTTGGTTAATTCTGTAATCTTAGGAGTTTTCCAGTGTCGATACTTTTAAAACAGCGAGTGCACTGGAGCTTTCATGAATGAATTCTGTGTGTTTATACCTTACATGCATGTTGGTAATTGTTCCTTATCTCAGAGCCTATCTGATGAGTGTGCTTTCCATGAGGATTTTAATGTTAGTTTCGGTGTCCTGTACTGTACTTTTATAAAGCTCCTGAAGCCCTCAACTGTGTTCTCATTGGCAGATGGCTGCCAACCTTATGAAGAGCGGAGTAAGACTGAATGCTATTTGTCCAGGCTTTGTCAACACACCCATCCTTGAGTCCATTGAAAAAGAAGAAAACATGGGCCAGTATATAGAGTATAAGGATCAGATCAAGGCGATGATGAAATTCTATGGAATCCTGGAGTAAGTAAAACTCTTTCTTTTCACAGTGGATCGAAGCATCATCTACAGAAGCAATCTTTTTAAAGTTTTAAATTTTAGAAAATGATATAAATCTCAGGGTTTGGGTTGACAAACTTTTGACGGGAAAAACAGGCAGGAGGAATAGAATTGTGGTTAAACGTTATGAATTTTGCTTTGAAAACAGACAGACTTCAGCCTTTATCAGATTTCTTTTCTAAATGATATTTGTTCCCTTTTCATGGTAATTATACCTTACTTGCCTAAACTTCAACTTCAAGCAAAAATCAAGTAAAACCCGTGTGTAATGTTGTATAGTTATATGATTCCAAAATTTTAACCACTTTCATAAAAACAATTGATCATCTCTCTCTTTCTCTGTCTCTCTCTCTCTCTCTCTCTCTCTCTCTCCCTCTCTCCTCTCTCTCTCTCTCTCTCTCTCTCTCTCTCTCTCTCTCACACACACACACACACACACACACACACACGGACACACATACGGACACATACACACATGGACACACACACACACGGACACACACACACGGACACACATGGACACACACTTGGGCACACAATCAAAGAACTGTGTCTAAGTTAGAATAGATGGACTGACACAAATACCAACTCACAGAGACTGTGGCAGCATGCACAGGGCTTGAACAGGTCTGAGATAGGGTCCCAGCACTGAGACAGAAAGCAGACACATGCCCCCATCCCTAACCCAGAAGCTGTCTGCAGTTGAGAGCCACTGGAAAATGAAAAATTAGTTTTCTTCAGTGGACATACAATCACTCCTAAGGCCAGATACTATACCCCATGGTAGACAGACAATACAAAACAAAACTCAATGGCATTTTTAGAGGTTGTCTCATAATGCCTTTCCAGGGCTTTTTAAAAAAGTCTTATTGTGTATTTTTATGGGATTTCTGGATGTGTCTCTGAGTCTATACATATTTTTTGAGCTTTTTCTTTGGCTGTTTTTCTTCTATTGGTTTATTTGTTTTTATCTTGTTTAATTTTATTTTATCATCATTATTTTTAATATCCCTATTTTATTTGTATTCTAGTGTGGCAGAAAAAGGAAAGGTGTGGATTTGAGTGGGTGGGGAAGTGAAAAGATCCTGGAGTACCTGGGGGAGGGGAAGCCATAATCAGAATATAATACAGGAAAAAGAATCTATTCGCAATAAAATTTTTACAAAAAATAAATAATAAAATCCAAATATACTGCCATGGCATAAGGGTATCCTTCATTAAAAAAAAGTATGTGAGGCTTTTGCAAGACGAGTTAGATGAGTTTTTCTCAACATAGAATTATAGCTGTTGTGTTGAAGGCGTCAGAGCTACATCAAATCTCAGCTTTAACTCCACCACTGACCATGAACTTCTCCACCAAACTTCAGAAAGTATCAGTTTTCTCACATGTAAAGGCATAGTATAACAAATTTAGGAATCTTTGGCAGACCAATAAGATGATATACATCATGGAATGTAGTTAAAATGGCACTTGGTAAAAATGATCTTCAATAAATGCTATTAATTGATTCTATTTTTCCTCCAGTGGAGTTTCTGTCTAGTAAGTCAGATATCTACTGGTCTAGATAAGAAAGTGAACATTTTTAGCAATATAATTAATGACTTCAAATGCATTGCCCAATGAGCACTAAATTTGTTATATAATTTACTTAACATCTCAATGAATAAAAATTGAAGGTAACAATAGCTTAATGAATTATATTTCCCTATGACAAGCATGCAGCTGCTTAAGAAAATATTGTGATGTTATTTAGTTTCATTTATTTTCAAAATACAAATGTTTCCTTCATTTTTAGCCCATCAATCATCGCCAATGGATTAATGACACTCATTGAAGATGACGCTCTCAATGGTGCCATCATGAAGATCACAGCATCTAAAGGAATTCATTTTCAAGATTATGACATCACTCCATCTTTTGTTAAAGCTCCATGAACATCTTAAGCATTGGCCATCACTGAAATTAAGCACAAGGGACTCACTCAGACTGCATCTTTACTAATATAGCTTTTAAAATGAAATGCTGTAGTATGAAACCTACCTGTCTGTGTCTGATGTTAATATTTTTCTAAATGATTAGTTAAATGTATAGATAAAGATGTACAATAAGCTAGCAAAAATATAGCGCAAGCCAAAACTGGGTTATAACTACATAATCTAAGGGCAAAGCACAGGATATTCAAGAGATATTCTGCCTTTCAGAAAACATATTTATCACTGTGGCTCATAAATATTAATGGTTTTCAGAGGGGAGATACTTGAATTGTTATTTAAATAAAAACAGATCTTAAATGATTCACTTTATATGTTTGCATTTCAAGAGGGGGAGGCTACTTTGCAATAGAAATACTTAGTAATAACAGCTTGTACATGATCTACAAGCTAAACATTTCAACTCTTTGAAAATATGGTATGTGTGCGGGTCAGTAGTTAGGGAATGAATTCCAGTGGGACCATGTCCGAATAAAATATCTGATGTATGGGAAAATGATATTTTTACTTACACTGACGATTCACACTTCAGCCTCAAACCAAGGAAGATGGTTTTTGTTTTCCTTCCTAATTTTAGAAATTTAATAGATTCCATAAACCTCAGGAATGAAACTTTCAACAACAGTTATAGCAATAAAGGAGGAAATTGTAAAGTTTTATATGTACTGTATATGCTTATTAAGAAATGATTCAAATGTATTTTTATTGATTATTTCTTTGTTGGTTTGTACTAATTTCAAAAGTGCCTATCTTTCAATAAAACTCTTTTATTCTAATTCACATAAATTACCTAGTCTTTTATATGTACACCTAGTGAGATGATAAAACCAATTCCGTTATATCCCAAACTAAAAATGTTTTTGTGCATATACTCATATTAATAACACAAAGTGAGAAATAGTTCTGCTTTGCTTTCTTCGTTGTCTGATATTTAAAGATCTTTAAATACACCCACCTTGAGTAATGCTATTTGTAAGCAGTAAATGATACTAGTAAAAGTGAAAGTACATGATTTTCACATCAGTCAGTTTCTCAAAGAAATGCTGTGTAAGTGATTCACTGTGCCTGAAAAAGTCCAGGCTTCTCAGCTTGGAACAAAATCCACCTATTTGAAATTGATGAGTACTTCCCAAATACTGCACTATTAGCATATCTTGCATTATTTTAATTCTTCCATAAAGACCTAACCACTTAATTTTTAAGGAGTAATTTGAATAGGAAAGACTAGTCTGAAGTTTCACCCGATATATGGACATGCAGCGGGAAACCAGTATTTGTGAACATCTAGTAGAAATGAGTTACAATTAGACACAAATGCCTTTACATATTTCTAATAGTGACCAATCAGCAAGTACTGAAGGTATGTGTAGTGTGCCTTACATCTTTCCTCCCTATAATGTGAAGTTTTACTTAAACTTATTTATGGCCAGGCGGTGGTGGTGATGATGATGATGATGATGATGATGATGATGATGATGATGGTGCACGCCTTTAATCCCAGCACTGGGATTAAAGGGGTAGAGGCAGGAGGATCTCTGTGAGTTCGAGGCCAGCCTGGTCTACAGAGTGAGATCCAGGAAAGCTACACAGAGAAACCCTGTCTCGAAAAAACAAAAAATAAAAAAATAAAAATAAATAAATAAAACAAAAAAACTTTTTATTTACGGATAATTATTTTGTGCTCACAGACATCAATGTATGTTACGCTTTGAATTAAATTTTTTCAAATTAACTATAAATGTACTTAAAATCAAATACTACATAAAACTGAAATATTGCATCATGTTAAACATTTACTTAAAAATTTATGTTCTATAGGGAGCTTTAAATAAGTCTACCATGTTATGTCTCCATATGATAATTAAAAAATAAACTAAATGCGAAATGGAGACCTTGGTTTCCTTAATTTTTAGTAAAAATTCTAATATAAATAATATGTAGTTTTAAATACTTTGCTTTATGAGTGGAATTAGAAGTTACAGAACAGAAAATCTACAAATATAACCACACAAAAGAAATTGAGGACTAAATGAAAAGACATGGAAATATCCAGCCACCCTGATTTTTCTCAAATAAAAACTTTAAATAAGTGTTACATAAACATAAGCATCCAGATGCCATGACTGTCAGTCTGATAGCCAAGATGCTAATTAGTGGGTAGCATATCCAATATGGACATGTTGGACAAAGTTATTCATGCCTCAAGCGAGAAAGAATCAAAAGACACAGTATTTTATCATGTTACTTAAAATGACACTAACTTAGAACTTATGAATGACTTATATCTGGGATTTTTCCATTAAATATTTTCAGACTATTGTTGGCAACCAGCACGGAAACCATGGATATTGGGATGTTGAGTAATTATATCCTAGAGAACTGGAGAAGCAGCTGATGGAGTGATGAAATATTCCTGTTCCCTTTGTTTCTCCAACAATAATCAATTGGTGGTTCTAGAATGGCTTCTAAACTGCCATCTTCCCTGATCAACTTCACTTTTTAGTAACAACAGCAGATGTACTAAAAATATGTACCAAGGCCAGCAAGATGTCTCAGTGGCAAGAGATACTCATAGACCTGAGGCTCTGAGACCAACCCTAGGATCCCACAGTGACAGGAGAGAATAGATTCTGAGAACTACCTCTGACTTCCACGCCCACACTTGAAGTGTCTGTATTTACACACAAATATATACGTGCATGCACACACATGTACACACACAAATTAAAAGATAATAAAAATTTTAAAACTCATACCATATTGAGTGTGATTTTTTTAGTCTTTCAGAAAACACCTACCAGAAAAAAATGTCATGCTAAATGATTAATGTCATGCTAAATGTTAGCAACAAAAACAACTTGAGGTAATTGGGAAAAGAACCAGATTCCCATTATTTCCCCACCTTTACCCAAGACTCTGGTCTGATCAGGCAATAAAAAGAAAATTTGACTGTGAAGGGAAAAAATGAAATTATTGTTATTTCCACTGGATAAAACTTAATTGTTAGAAAGTCCAAAATTTTTAACTAAAGAGTGAATGATGAGCTGAGCAAGTCTATATGACTTTTGGCATACCTAGGGGATATTGCAAATTCAATGCCACACCCCCAATAAAGTAAATATCAAAATAAAATGAGTCACGTGAGTTTGTTAGATTTCTGCTCATAAAGTTATATTTACACTTTTGTAGAATATTAACTCTGAGAGACTAATGTGCTCAAAATGCGTATATTAAAATACTTTATTTTATGAACAATGAGATGCCAAAGATCACTTGAGCTTTCGGGAGCCTTCAATGAATTCTAATGAGTTTGTTGGTGGAGAGTTTCTCATGAAGATTAATAGTAGCTGGTGGATCAGGGTGTCAGTTACTGAAGGATAAGATGGCTGCAAAAGTCCCTTAAAATACAACATTGTAATTTGCTGCATCCTTTTCTGCTCCCTAAATATTTTTTTGGCAGCATTTACCCACATTAGGACTTCTTAAACCATTCAACTACTCATTCTAAAATAGCTCCTCAGCCAGTTGCCAACCCTCCCAACAGCCAGAACCAGATACACAAGTTTTACATGACACTTTTCCTGGGAAAGCATGAAACACATATCAGTTCACCCCAGAGAATAAACCAATAACTGATCAAAGTAATGATTACACCATAGTCTAACGGGGTGAGTTTATTGATGTTGTTTCCAGGAATATGGGTGAGAAGTTACTTAGAGAAGCAGTGATGATTCCAATACAGCTGCATCACTCTGGCATGGTGGGGTTTTGAAGACTCAGGAAGCCTGGAACCCGAAAACTCTCTAAATGTTGTACTTACATAATAGCCCAACATGTAGAGGAATGTTTTCTAGGCAGCTCAGCTCATGGGAGTCTCCTCTAGATAGCTTAGCTAGTCAGAGTCTCTTGCCTCAGATGGTTTTTACTGTGCTTGTAATCTTGTGGACAGGTTTTGGGAATCCTGTAAGTTTTATTTCTCATGGAATCTGTAAAGGTTTTGTTTTAAATGTTTCCCCCGCCCTTTTTTTTTTTTAAAATATGAGAATATAATTATACCATTTCTCCCTCCCCTTTCTTCCCTCCAAAACCTACTATGTATTGGCCCAGCCCCCTTGATTCCTTTCAAATTCATCACTTGTTTTTCTCTAATTGTTGTTACATGTGTGGCAGGGGGTGTGGAGAGACATTTCTAAATACATAAAATACATTAATACAATCTACTCACTCTGGAAAGCATTACATGTGTGTATGTAACTTCAGGACTGAAATTTTGTATTAGATAACCAACTATTGTTGGTTGTGCTCTTACCTGGGGAAGCCTGTTTTTCTTGCTTTCAGAGGTCTTAAGTTACCTATCATTCTCTGTCTAGGGTCACTGCCTCATGAGCGTTTCCGTTTCCACATTAGTATGTCTTAGTGTTTCCCTTGTTCAAATCATTTTTTTCATGTTTAGGAAGTCAGGTTGGTAAGACTTATGGATGTAGCTTTTGACACTTCCAGGAGACACAATTTCACAGAAACTCCCTGCTGCTCTGGCTCTTACAATCTCTCAGCCCCCATTTTCATAATGATCCCTTAATCTTAGGGGCAGGAGTTGTGTTGTAGATCTGCTGGTACTGGGCTCCACAACTCTGCATCTTGATCAGTTGTGGTTTTCTGAAATGGTCACTGTACATATGTTTCCTTAATGAGGTTGAAGACTACTACACTTCTCTGTGGGAAGCATGAGAAGCATTCTTTTGAGTTGTTGGCAGGGATATCCAAGGGACTCCAAAAATATTGGAGACTGTTACTGTAGGACATATATACATATCATATATGATATGTAGGAATATGCAATATGGAATATTGCAACTTGGAGGAAATTGTTATACAAAAATGAGTGAGCCCCAACCAAAGTTAACCAAGCCTGACTCAAAGCAGAGAACCTTCTCCCCTATACGAAACCCAAATCATCAACATACAGAAGCAAGAACAGTAGATGGTTGTTTGGAACTCCTGATGCATATGTGCTTTGTTATACAGACATGCGCCCTGAAATGATAAGGTCTAACAATAAGATACCGTACAGAGTCTTACAAAAATCCTAAAACAAAAGAAAACATGTAAAACACAGTAAAGAGAATAACATAAAAATTATCAAGTACCATCTGACTTTGACAAGTTCCTTCCAAGAAAAGGTCAAAAGAAAGAAAGAGGGGCGGGAGGAGGAAGAAGGAAGGAGAAAGAAGAAAGATTTTTCAAGGAAGATGGAAAAAAAGTTTTTGAATGAAAATAAGATCTCCAGATGAAGGGAGATGCCCAGAGAAATGAAGGATAGTAAAAGGAAATGAGAAAGAAAATCAGAATGAATAACAAGCTCAAGTCATGGAAATCATGACTTCTAGGAAACAAAATATCCATAGAACTGAAATAGAGGAAAGCACTAAGTGTAGATAGGGGTGAGTGGAAATAAAGTTTCCTATGGCCTTTGTATTTACTATTATCTTGGGATGGTAAACATTCCCTTTCAACTTGACTGGATGGGCTCTAGGGAGGCACCGTTTGTCATGTGTCGGTGCAGACATTTCCAGGGAGGATTAACCGACAAGGGAAAAGTCACCCCAACATGGTCGGCACCGTGCTGTGGGCTGAGGTTCTAGACTGAATTATAACGGGTAAATAAGAGAAATTGCTGAACATCAGCACCCACCTCTCCCTGCTTCCCAACTGCTGATGAATTCTGGCCAGACGCCTCACTTGGCTGCGGCTGTGCCTTTTCCACCAGGATGGGCTTTAGACTCTCA